TAAATGCTTCCAAACAGTTTGCTGCATTTATAAATCACCCATGTCTTAAGGTAATTCATTATGATGTGATTTACCTTCTATGTGTGATTTGATTATACAGGAATCACAGGACTGATTTATGATCCCCATTAACAAGAAAAAATAAAGTAGTGACTGCAGGTTGAAGTAAAGTAGTGTAGTAAAAGTACCGATACAGCACTAAAAATGTACTTAAGGGAAAGTGAAAGTACACATTTTTAAAACTACTTAGTAAATTACAATTCCAGAGAAAAACTACTCAATTACAGTCATTTGAGTTGTTGTAATTAGTTACTTTACACCACTGTGTACTCGATCCAAGGTTATTTAAAGATTTGCATTTTAAATTAATGTAAAATTAAATGAACTGTAAAATGTATGCTTTATTTAATTTCTATTTATAGATTTCCTGTTCAGTTTAGTTTTAGATTATTTCATTAATGGTTTTGTTAGTTTTAACTTCGTTTTCATATTGTATTTGTTAACAATTATTACAATTTGTGAACACTCATTTTATTTCAACTACACTTTTGTGAATTTTGCTTTTTTAAAGTCAATATTTAAAGCATTTTAAATGAAGCATTACTTAATTGTAAAATAAAAGCATGGTCTAAACATTGAATAATCAAACATGCAAGCGGATTTTATGAATGACTAGCTCTGCATAGTTTTGTGTAAAGTTCCGCAGGCATCGACTGCATGCTGACCTTACTGCGGCAGGAGAACAAACACAAGACCAGATTGAAGTTGACACGAGAAATTGAGTCCTTCTTTTTAAAGAGTCCCCACATGAGAAATGCACTGTTTGGGCATATGTGTCCATGATAAGATGTAATTACTCTTGTTACTGCTGGGTCAAAGAAGTTTTCAGGCTTGGGAGGACATAATGTCACATGCGTTTAACCATCTGTGTCTGACTGGCACACTTAAGAGTTGTAAATAGGAAATTGTGAGTGAATGACAGTGCATATTATGTCATGGAGTGACTGTAGGCTTAAAATGTCTCAAATGAATTGACAAGGGCTTAATTTGTTGTGAATTACCTGCAAGCTGCATCATATTGTCAGGAAGCAAAAATAAACGTTTCTCTCGTCGACAACTTGCGCTGATGACTCATTTCCTATGAACTTACTTGACTTGTGTTCTTGCCAATCTGAAACTTGGCTACATGTCTGATATTACTTTGCCGCCTTAAAGGATGATGAATCCTAATGATTCAAATAAGGAGGTGATAATTATGGCTCGTGGACTCCTGTAAAATGAACAAGTGACTTGTGGAGAACTGCATGATGGAATGGGAAAAAAATTGAAATGACATTAGCAAGCTGTACATGAAACTGAACGTATAGTGGATATTGAATGACGAAGGTGTGAGGGATTCATTCTCTTTGATAATGGAGAAACTTACTTTATAAAGAATTTAAAATATATATATATTTAATTTCTCAGAATTTCATACTTGTGAGAGATCTTTGCGTAACAAATCCTTTGATAGACTACATTCTTAGTTTCTCTGCATTGACTTGATCTATTTCAATAAAAAGATACTGGACCACAAAAGTTTTATGTTAAACAGGTATACTGTATCTGTGGGAATAACCAACAAAAAATTTGATGGATTAAAATTTTACATTTTTATAATCTTCCAAAAATATAAAGAATATTAAAGGTGCAGTAGGTGATTTTCTTCAAAAACATTTTTGTTGTGCTGGTTGAAAATCTCTTCATATTCCAACAGTAATTATTAAAGTAAATGATCTAAATGCATCAATATGTATTTTTATTTTCTGGGTAAAGCATAAGACTAAAAAATGTTCATTCAATTACAATTTGTCAGGCTGACAATTCCCAAAGTCTGCCAACAAATGTAGATTTGTACATCTGCATTCATTCACGCAGATCCACTGGTTGCGTGTACACGCGATAAAAACAAATCCTGAATCAAAACTTTTTAAAATGCTGAATCAATATTGGAGTTACTTTTCCACACTGGAGAAAGGATGACCCCATGGCTGAAGTATTTTTTTTAGACAAGTAATATTCTGTTTTAAAAGTATTTTAGTTAGGCAAAGCTTTTGTAGATTGTGTTGTTTTATATATGGATTACATGCACAGAAGTGTTGTTCAGCCACTGAAATCTTCCGGCGAAAGATTAATGTGACTACTTTTAATTTCACAAGGTTCCTTTTACAGCATCGATAATGTAGACTTTTATTCAGTTAAACAAGAAAACATTAGTAAATAACGCGATTCCACCTAGCCTGCTTTACTGAGGTGAAGTTAGTTTTATATTCACATCGTTTCATTTTCGAACAATGACAACCTGTGACAGTTCTTATATTGTTTACCATGCTAATTTGAATATTTGGTCTGAAATAGCATGTAAGCATGGCTTAGTAAGAAATGTAATTCCTGCGCACTGCAGACCAAGCACTAAGCATATAGTAGTCTCTTTAGGATAAAAGCACGTGAGAGATTGAGACAAGTGATCCTGGCATGCTTGAAATATTGCACATTATGAAAGTTATGTTTTAAGTTTAAGTTTAAAATTATAATTTTTTTTTTTTGTTGTTGTTGTTGAACATTTCAATTTTGAACAAAGCCTGAGATCCACCCAACAAAAAGTATAAAATAAAAAAGCAGTAAGATTGTAATAATAAGTACAAAATCAGGATTGAAACATGAATGATACAGTCACTCTCATATTTAACCAAAATAGTAATTTTTTTTTTACTGGCACCAAATATTTTTGCTGTGGTGTATTTCAAACTAATAATGTCCAGTAGATAGGGCTTCCAGGATAGATAAGCTGGAGGAGATGGATCCAGCCATAGTTTCAGGATAGTTTTTTTTTTTTTCAGCAGTCAGAACAACTGACAGAATCTTTCTTTGGTTTATGGATAAGAAGAGTGATGAATCGTCCAGCATGAGAAAAAGCAATGGGTGGCATTGGATCTGAGTTTTCATTAGTTCTGATTGAAAGTCTGGTACTTTGGTCCAGAATAATGCAATTTGGGGACATTCCCCGAACATATGTATGCAAGTACCTTGTATAGAGTTGTTACATAAGTGAAAAAAGGGGTCTGATTTTCTTTTCATTTTAAATAACAGGTGGCATAAGCCTTAAAAATTAATTGATAATGAATCATTTGGCGAGCTGGGTTTTTTGAAGTTACTACACAGTTCTCCCAGACAGTCTCCCAATCAATCATTTTATTAAGTTCTCTCTCCCAGAAGCCCACAATTAATATATTTAAATATTGTTGTACTTTAAGTAATTTATATATTATATTTACAATACCTCTAGATTCCAAACTAGAATCTATCCAGTCTATCATAGGATGAGGGGTATAATACAGTTGTTCATTGGGAATTGTAGTATTATAAAATACTGTAAAGTTTTCTAACTGGCAAATGATATGATTTACTGGGTCTCTGTCATCTTTAATGTGCGCATTGTTGATGCATTGTTGAGGCATGGGTTTGGACGGCAGGGCAGGAATTATGTTTTCAAAGATATTATGCTAAGGAGTTAGCATTTTGGCAAATCACCTAATGCACCTTTAAGTAATCTGAAGTAAAATTCCCTTCTGTAAATATATCAAAATAATTTTTTAATTAGTAAAATGCTTTGCTTAGAACTTAATGTGAACAATTTTAAGGATATTTTCTCTATATTTAATGTATTTTGGACCCACAAATAGTTGTATCAGGACTGAATATTGCCTTTTCCTAACAAATCATACATTAATGGAAATCTCAGACTGTGCAGAAATCTCAATTTCCAAAATTGTAACATGGTTTTGTGGTCCAGGGTCACATATTTGTTTTATTCTAAAAAAAAAAAAGGTCTGATGATCTAATACAATTTCTTCCAAAACAAACAAACAAACAAACAAACAAACAAACAAACAAACAAACAAACAAACAAACAAACAAACAAACAGACAAACGAACAAACAAAATGAATGTTTGAGAAAATGAAAATTGACAAGAATAACAAGCTTTCATTTGGTGTGACTGAAAATTTTTTTCCAACAAGTAAAAATTTTTAAGAGCTGTTTTGTCATTAAAAATTGGTATTGTGTTGCGTCTAAAAATGAATACAAACAAATATGAAAACATGGCACTTTTTGTTAGTTTAGCAAAAAAAAAAAAAAAAAAAACTTGAAAACTAATTCTGAAAAAGAGAACTGATGTTAAAAGTGGAAAGCAGTCAAATAATCAGGTTTTTATTTTCAACTACAAACAATAAACATTTGAATTCAGAATTATTAGCCCCCCTGAATTATTGAACCCCCTGTGTATTTTTTCCCCAATTGCTGTTTAACAGAGAGCAGATTTGTTCAACACATTTCTAAACATAATAGTTGTAATAATTCATTTCTAATATGATTGTAATAATTCATTTCTAATATGATTTATTTTATCTTTGCTATGATGACAGTAAATAATATTCTACTAGATATTTTTCAAGACACTTCTATACAGCTTAAAGTGACATTAAAAGACTTAACTAGGGTAATTAGGTCAACTAGGCAGGTTAGGGTAATTAGGCAAGTTATTGTATAACGATGGTTTGTTCTGTAGACAGTTGGAAAAAAATTGCTTAAAGGGGTGAATAATTTTGTTCTTAAAATGGGGTTTAACAAATTAATAACTGCTTTTATTCTAGCCGAAATAAAACAAATAAGACTTTCTCCAGAAGAAAAACATTATTAGACATGCTGTGAATATTGACTTGCTCTTTCATACATAATTTGGGAAATATTTAAATAAGAAGAAAAAAGTGAAAGCGGGGGCTAATAATTTTGACTTCAACTGAATATTTTCAACCTTTTAGCAGAGATGCTTGTATTTGTTAATCTATCAAACTCTTACTTCAGTTGCATACTTTTAAACATTGTCTACTATGTTCATAATACGAACATTATACTCAGCATTTTGGCCATTATTGATAAGTCTTCAGGGTCTCAGTTCTAAATGGGGTTCTAAAATTAACTCACATGATTAATAACCAGAGGAAAATCCAATAAAAAGGTGCTAATGTATCTGGTGTCATCAGGAAGGATTTGCTCCATCTCTTCTCCATCATCCGGTCCAGCGTCACAGAGAAAGGGATGACGGAGGTTAGGGTGGAGGGGCTAGAGGATAAAGAGAAAGAGAGATGAGAGAGAGAAAGAGACAGAGCTCATTTCAGAAGTTACCAAAGACTTCACACTCACTGACAGAGCAGGGGAAGATCAGCAGAGAAGTCCAAGTATCTCCTCAGGGCCACAGCAACCTCATCCGTGGGACAGAATAGAGAGACATTATTAGGGAGAATTAGAGAGACACAGATCAAGCTTTTAGAGTGTTTCGTGGTGTGTTTGTTTGTCCCGCTGCTGCTATGAGCAGGGTTTTGATTTTGTGTTTGCTCCTGCTGTCCATGAGCTGCTGCAGAGGTGCCGTCATCACTGGGGTAAGCTGATTTCTTTTCATTTTGATAGTTCTTTATTATTATTTAACATTTGTTAACATTTTAAAAAGGCAAAACACTGACTAGTGTAAATAAATGAACTGCTTTATTAATCATCATTTCCTTTAGTTGATCATTTACAATAACAATTTTAGGCTTATTTTGTGTTACAAGTTTTTTCCAGGATGTTATGTTAAAATATGCGAATTAGGTTTATTAAATTAAATATGCACTAATTTGCATATATTTCAAAAAACAAAATTGGAATATTAGATGAAGTCAAGTTTCATTAATATCTTCATTTCAATTGAAGTTTGTTGAATTTGTTTTTGTTTTTTGACATACTGTGTAAGTGTTAATGGTTTTACACAATGTCTATTTACCAAAATATTTTATGCAAATTATGTATTACCACATTCCTCTGTAAAAACCTTCAGAATGTAGATATAAATGAAATGGTGATTCGTAATTTGCATAAAATATTTTGGTGCAAATTATGCAGGAGGAAAAACGGCCTTTAGAAATACACAGTTGAAGTCAGAATTATTCGCCCCCCTGTTTATTTTTTCCTGAATTTCTGTTTAACAAAGAGAAGATTTGTTCAACACATTTCTAAACATAATAGTTTCAATAACTTATCTCTAATAACTGATTTATGTTATCTTTGCTATGATGACAGTAAATAATATTTGACTAGATATTTTTCAAGACACTTCTATACAGCTTAAAGTGACATTTAAAGACTTAACTAGATTATTTAGGTTAACTAGGCAGGTTAGGGTAATTAGGCAAGTTATTGTATAACGATGGTTTGTTACTTCCGTAGACTATCGAAAAAAATAGCTTAAAGGGGTGAATAATTTTTAATTAAAATGTTTTTTTTATACAATTTAAAATTGCAATTTAAAGTTTAAAAAAGCATTTTGGGATGCTCTCTTTCCATTAGACTAGTGCTTAAGAAAAAGCCAAAAAAGGTGAAATTCTTAAAAGTGACAGGTGTATGGAATTATTTTTTATGTCTCATCTTTATCCACGCCTTAAGTGTGTTAGATATATTACGCAATGTAATTGTACATAATCTGCTGCATTCAGTTGATTTTGATAACTTATTTAAATCACTAGTAGTAAAAAAAGATGTTTTGTTATCTCCAAAATAGATTCAGTTCATTTCTGATTTACCTTCATTGTGTTTTAATGAATTATTTTATATTTAGATTTTACATTTATAAGTTGTAGATTTATAAGTTTACGAAGCATATTATCACTTTGTGTCAAATTTAATTTAATGCATTTAGGGAAAAAGTTTCTGAAATAACATTAAATTCTAATTTATTTATTCTTCTATCTGTAAAATTACACAAATAAGTACTGAGCAATGTTCAATATACTCACTGAATTAATGTTTGGAATATGGTTTGATTTAAGATTAGTTACATTGTAATTATGTCCAATTCTTTACAGTATAACTATAATATACAGTATAATATTATTACAGTGATTAAGTAGATTAATTGTAGATTCATTTAAATATATAGCCTAAAAATATTTGCATTTCTATTATTATAGAATTTACACAATATTTTATCTGTGTTTACCAACCTTATATGTTCATTTCTTAGAGAGCACATCAGTAAGATTAATTCATGATCAATATCTGGATATCACCCAGCATTTTCATTTCTTACGGAATAATAAATCAACTATTGCATTTATTATTACATTATACATTAAAAACATAATATTATTAATAATAATATTAACAACAACAACAACAACAATATTAATAAGTGATGGTGATGAGGTGGGTAGATAAAAACAGACTCACCAACAAAGCAGAATTCCTTCCTCTTTGATGAGACCAGAGTGTGTTTGTCTGGAAAAAATAAAATCGCAATAAATGAATAAAGAAATGAATTTATATACAAAACACAAACATTTTAAGAATTTGCACTTTTAAGATGGGGAAATGCAAATTCACAGAAGCTAAACAAAGCTGAATTATCAACTATTAGCAAATCATAATTTGTTAACAAATGTTTGTGAAGAAAAATAATTCTCATTAAATATTTAACAATTTTAAAATTGTAATTATTTAATTTTTAAATATATATTGAAATCCAGCATCTAATTAGATTAAGCATTAAATAGATTCAATATCCTATATGTGCTATGAGAACTCAATGAGCGATTGAGTCAGTGTTGTGTGTGTTTGTGTTTCAGGCGTGTGACAGGGATGTGCAGTGTGGTGTGGGTCTCTGCTGTGCTGTGAGTCTGTGGCTCCGAGGTCTCCGCATGTGCACACCGCAGGGGCTGGAGGGAGACGAATGCCATCCATACAGCCACAAGGTACACAGATACATAAATACACTCATAAACCGCCATTCAGAGCCAGGAGAAACCCTTCTGGAAGATCAAGCTGATCTATAGAGCCCTGCGGTAACAATTAAGAGCCAAGGAGAAAGGAAGAACAAAGCACAGACTATAATATTTTTGATTAGCCAGAACATACAATTAAGCTTATATCAGAGGAAAAAGTCATTAGTTATGTTTACTAAATTAAACTGTGCTTAACATTTTTACTTTCACTCTAAGAATATATATTTTTTGCTGTTAATTTGTGTTTCTGACACCACTCTTTGCAAATTTTTTTTTGTTTGTTTTAATGATAATCTACAGGCAAAAGAACCAGGGAGTTACAATGCCTGTTAAAAGATTAATTCAATAAATGATATTAACCTTCCTTAATATATATATACTACTATATTAAAATAATTTCTTATGTTGAATCACATTGACTTTGTTTTACTTGCCTACATTTTTGTTTTGTAGTCCTATTAACACTATAAGCTCTTCACAATGTTAATTAAAATAAAATTGAAATGTTAAATAAACAAATTTGTGCAGTTTGTCTGCAAAAAGACAGATTAACACAACTCATTGTGATTATATATTATATGTGATTATATAATGTGTTAGTTGTGTTAATGCACTCCAAAAAATAATAATAATAATAATAATAATAATGCTGGGTTCCCCCCAATCGATTTGTGTTGGGAAAACATGAAGAAATTAAGTTAACTTGATTTAACGTAATTTCAACAAGTTGATTGAATATAAAACAATTAAGTTTTCCCCCCATCATTTTTAACCTCTAAATCCCTAGAGAACATTTAAGACTAATTTTACCTATGTTAATTCTGCATGAGCAAAACCATGTTTTCTGCCAACTACAAATCTGCCAGTTTAAGTTGATTCAATTTAAGTTCCTTTTAATACAATCATATTTTGAGTTCAAGTAACTCTTTTCTATTAAGTACACTGAACATTTGTTAAATTTGTGAGTGAAAGAATTAATTTTATTGAATAAAATTGATGGTTTGGATTTACAGTGATGGATAGTCCCTCACACATTGGGATGTAAGAATGCAATCTCTTCTTTTATAAAAGCAGATTAGATCCTGAAGTAAACGTGGGTGATTGGCAGAGATGACTGAGAAAGGCTTTAAAAGAATCTGCTGATAAGTACTGCCGATATTGATTGAATGTCTCACAGATCAGGCTGTTTATCACCCTGTCAGACAGTCTCAGACTGATATTGAGATACTGGAGCTTTGCTATTCAGCTCAGGTTATGAGGTGACGGATTTGGAGGGTGTTTGTGACTCAGATCTTTAAACAGAAACTCAAACCTAGGGAGATTAGTAGCTGATGTATAAAGACAAAAATAATCAAATATCCCCGAAGTGCCTGGAAACATGCTGTTTTATTCAATGTGTTGAGTTCCACCTGAAGCTGGAAGAAATGATGTGACATGGAGAAGCTCATCATCTTAATAATAAAAATAGAAATAGCCAATGATTAATTCATCTCAGCTCAGCCAGAGATACAAGATAAAAGATAGTTTACCCCAAAAAGGTTCTCACTCTCAAGTGGTTTAAAGCATTTTGAGTTTCTTTTCAAGACTAGTCATTGACACTCATAGAAAGAAATATTATAGAAGTCAATGGCTACCAGTTTTCAACATTCTTTAAAATATCTTCTTTTGTGTATTTAACAGAAGAAAGAAACTCAAGCAAGTTTGAAAATAATTAGTGGATCACAGAATTTTCATTTTTGAGTGAAATATTCCTTTAACAATCTATTAGTTTGAGTTTCTTCTCAAAATCTCCTCCATATCTGTTTCAAATGTAGCAATCTGTTTATAATTCCAGTGGGGCCCGTTTGTTTTGTAGAAGACTTCACATTATAGAAGAGGGTTTAATTAGACACAAAATCTAATGAGAGGTGGAACTGGAGAGAAATGTCATCAAAAACATTGATTGTTGGTGGAAATGAGAGAATATACTGTTAGGAGGATTTATAAATATTTGGACAATTCTAACATTTTTGGCTCTGTACACCAACACAATCTATTTGAAAAATGAAAACGAGCAAGATCTGTTGTAACTGCAAATTTTCAGCTTTAATTTGAGGGCATTTACATCCAAATCAAGTGAACAGTGTAGGAATAACAACTGTTTGGATTTGTGCCTCCCATTTTTAGAATGTTCCAAACAGTTCTGGCCACGTTCAATGTTTTTGCTCTCTCTGATGTATTTTTTTTTTAGCCTAATGATGTCTTGCTTGACTGACAGCTCTTTGGATTTTATCTTGACAGTTGACAGCAACAGATTTTTAAATGCAAATAGCACACTTGAAATGAACTCTGGACCTTTTATCTGCTCCAATGTAATTGGGATAATAAGGGAATAACACACACCTGGCCATGAAACAGCTTAGATGCTAATTGTCCAATTACATTTGGACCCTTAACAAGTGGGAGGCACAACTGTTAAGCTGTGGTCACACTGGGCTTTTTCTCCTATAGACTTCCATTCATACGAACGCGAATGCATCAGACTGGAAATGCAGGGTCATGCATTTCAAGTTTTGCAGGTTGCTGCGGTGCAAAGTTCAAACTTGGTGAACTCTGACGTGCAGAATCGCATCACTTGACTGTGTGAGACCAATAGAGGGTCAAAACATGACTTCTCTGGACCGAAAATTAAAACATGGTGAAATCGCACACTTTTTTAATGCCTAATAATCTTGTTTATTCCTGCCCCTTTTCGCAGCGCCATACTACAGAATTTCGCATTATCAAACTCTAGTGTGACAGCAGCTTTATAATTCCTACACCAGTCACCTGATTTAGATGTAAATACCCTCAATTTACAGCTGACAGTCTCCAGTTAAAGCACATCTTGTTTCATTTCAAATTCATTGTGTTGGTGTATTGAGCCTAAAATGTTGCTAAATGAGCTAAGAGTTGTGTTGATGTCTGCATATTTATGCACCTAACTGTACATGTCGAATATGCACTGTAAAAAATTTACTGTAGAATTTACAGGAAATACCTGGCAAAAAAGTTGCCAATAATGTCTTGTAAAAATGTTGTAAATTGCTGTAAAATAGATTACAGTAAAATACTGTAAATCCATTTACAGCTAATAATTGTATTTGAAATACATTATTTTCTTGTGTTTTTTACAGCAATACAAAATTAACTTGTATTTTACATTACAGTACTTTCTTGTAATTCCACTACATTACAGTATTTACCTGGCAACTAAAGTTGCCAATAAAATCTTGTAAATACCCCAAAACCCAAGATGTTGTTGTAATAGTTTTACCTTGAAAATGCTGTAAATCATGATTTTTTTACAGTAAGCAAATCTATTACTTGTTGTTTTAAATGCATTACACTATACACCAAACATACACTATACATTTTTAATAATAAGAAAAAAAAAATGCAAAATTATTGTAATAACAGTATTTATTTTTTATTAAAGACTTTAAATTTGAAGCAATATTCTGGGTTGATTAAAACTCAATAAAGTGAATCAGCTATGCCAAAACACTTTACCACATTTAAACAATTTCTTTTAACAAAATTATCTATATTCACAAAGTGTCAAAAGTGGCAGTAAATAAGATATTTTGATATCCCAAAGATATCCCAAATGTTACAACATCACGTGTCTATACAAACAATTGTAATAAACTATTTTTTTAAAACTGACAGCAGAGCACTCTAAGAGTTCAACTTGTAAATTAACATTTCTGTTGCTGAACATTGCTGAAAAACATTCTCAAAATTTCAAAAAATAAAGTACAAATAGCTTTAAGATGTTCTTGAACAATCAAAATATTATAAATGTGTGTCTATAACAAGTTTGTTCATTTTGCAGAAGTCCTGTATTTGAACTTTGAACTCACTTACATGCTTAACCATTCAAAGTCCATTAGCTTTCTGAGAAGAGTACAAACATGAGGATTGACTGTGTGGTTCCTCTTCTCTGACACCTTTCCACCTTTTTTTCCTCCAATCTTTGCTGTGGCTGCCTTGGTCCCAGTGGGTGGATTGATTCCAACAAAGCATCTGCACAAAGACCAGTCATAAAATAAAGACAGGAGCTTTACAATAAAATAAAACTACACTGCAAAAATGCTTTTCTTACTTAGATTTTTTTTTGTCTTGTTTCTAGTCCAAATATCTTAAAATTCCTAAATTTTACATTTTTCCTTAAAACAAGCAAAATAATCTGCCAATGGGGTAAGCAAAATAATCTTACACGTCAAAAGAAAAAACAAGATTATTTTGCTTACCCCATTGGCAGATAAGAAAAAACTAACTTAATATTGGCATTTTATTTCTCAAAACAAGACAATATGTTTTGCTTGTCTAGAAATTGCTTCTTGATTTAAGAAATTTTAGATATTTAGACTAGAAACAAGACCAAAAATCTAAGCAAGAAAAGCATTTTTTGCAGTGTAGTTTCCTTCAGTTGAAAATTAAGGTTTTAACTGATACTGTGGTCTGTTGTGAGTTTTATAATGAAAGTAAATGACTACCATAAAAAGATAGATATAACAGATATATTGTGGTCATATCAAGGGAAACAATCAGTTTGTACAAAAAAATGTTTGTACAGCACTGCCATAACAAACTAATCCAGAGCTCAAGCTTTCTGTCATATGATGGAACACGCAACCAGAAACATAAATGAACTGAATTTATTATTTACAACAGAGGTACAATGTGTGTAAATAAGAATAATTTTGGTTCACACAAGATTTACAATTAACATGTCTTTCTGTGAAAGAAAACTCAAGCTCCAGAGTTGTCTGGCTTATCCTGTACATGGTTTAAAAGTAGAATAGTTATCATCATAATTAGTTTCTTGCAAAGACTGATAATTTAACTTTTGCATGAGACTATAATAAATCATTAAGTCACCTAAATATTGGATAGCCTGAGGGTAAATAAATGAATAAAAAATGCATTTGAGTTGTATTAAAGGTGTAGTTCAACCTAAAAACTCTGGAAGTGAATGATTAGAAGTGTTTTTCTTTCATCAAAATATATTCTTTTGTGTTCAACAAAAGCAAAGAGAACTAAAAGATGTTTATGACAAGTGAGGAAGAGTAAATGATGACAGAACTTCTATTTAAGTCATTTTCTTACCTTTGAACAAATTCGAGTGTGCAAGACGCCTGCTCCTGGTACACCAGATTGAAGTTGTAGTAGCTTGAAAACAAAGCTGCAAATCCAGCTATGAAATTGGGGTGTGGACCAACAACTACTTGTCCCTCGATGCTCAGCATCCACTGAGTTGCAGTGAGAATGTCCCCTAAAATGAATAAATATATAAGCAACACTTACACAAAAATGCTTGCAAAGTTTATTTAATAAATTTACAGATTTATTACAGGACATTGTACATTACCTAAGACAATTAGTCTTGGAGAGTCTGGAAGCACCAAGCTTTTCTCCACATCACCTGCTGTTGCTGACACCTACAAGAAAAAAGTGAGATGGGGGGGTTTGATTAAAATGCATTTACTTTTCGGTTATAAGAACAAAATATGTACTTTAAAAATACACTATAAGACTTACATCCGTCTGAAGAATCAGTGCATCGTTTTTTTCTTTAAAGTGTGACAGAAGCACAAGGACCACACATGGAATGAAACTTGAAGCTCCACTATCATCAAACTTCAGAAGTATTCGCTGAATCTCATCTGTTTTGGTCCCTGCTGGCTTTTGACGGAAAAACTGAAGAATCATCTTTCCTTTTTCTTCCATGGACTTCTCAAGTCTTTCCAAAATGCTGATGTTGGTAAGTGACTTAAAGTGGCTATACAGTTCTTTGGGTGTAAAAAGATATGGCCACTCATTTTTCAACTCAGCAATGGATGGTGGTGGACAGGCATTAATCGATTTACGTTGGAGGTAGTATGTAGCTTTCATTAATTGACTTAGATGTCCTTTTTGAGCTCCAGCTGGCCCCTCACAACTATAGAGGTCCTTCATTTCTTCCTGCTTTTCTTGGAGACTTTCTTCAGTATCATCAACAGGACACTCAGGCTGCCACCTTACACATCCATACTGGTCAGTAGGCCCTGGTCCAGTGTCCTCGGGTGGTGAATTTGAGGTCTTTTTTTGTTTCCTGCGTCTCGAAAATGAGCAGCCACGATTAACATGCTCCACTCTTGTTTTTAGCTGTATCAAAAGGGATCCATAGCCAGTCCCAATTCTTGTGCCATCTTTCAAAACATCAGCAAAGCTTTGTGGGTACTGTTTAACAATCTTCTTTGCAACAATCAGACATTGTGATTTTGATGGATTTAACTCTGTCTGTCTCATCTCATCAACAATGATTCTCACCATTTCTCTGCGTTCTTTAGCTGTGGGGCGTCTACCCAGTGCAGTGGCAGTTTTAATACCAGAAGACATCCGATTCCATGGAACTTCAAAGTTTTCAGGCCATACAGTTAAATCGACAGTTGAACTGGAGCTGTTTGTGCTAGAGACACTTGGTGTACACGAGGAACTGAAATTTGAAGATGGTGAGTTTACTGGTGATACATCAAAGACTATGTTTGTGGATTCTAAAGGTGATACTTTGGCACAAACTGTTTTGTCTGAAAAAAAAAACACAAAAAAAATAAACATTTGCCCTTAATATCTAAATACAGTTCAGGACCTATCAACTATGAACAATGACATAGTTCAAGCTATTTATTATTTACCCTTATGTTGTCTCAGACACAACTTACTTCAGTGGAACACAAATAAATTTAAAATAACTGTGATTTACATCCATACAGTGCAAGTCAATAGGGTCCTTACTTGGGCTCTTAAACTGTTCAGTTTCAAATAAGAAATAAAAGCATGAAGGTTATTTATCTGAATCCAATTTAATCACGTATTATTAAACTAAGTTTAAACAGTTTAAACTGTCTTCAGTAAAATATTCTATTATGTTACATGGATGCTTTTAATTACCTTTATGATGACTAATTTCTTATTATTTAACTTGGAATGAATTGGGCCACATTGACATGCACTGTATAAACAAAATCACATTTCTCCATTAAAAAAATAAATAAATAAAACTTTGTTACTGCTCCACACATAAAAAAGGAAATGTTGAATGTGTTTGAGACAACATGTAGGTGAGAAAATTGTATCTATGCAAAGTATACCAATCAATCTGTAATGTCAAGCAATTTTGCACCAGTCATCATAAAGATGACTATGGCATACCTTCTATATTCCATGCATTGAGGAGCCGACGACACTGTATTGGTGTGATGTGATCAGGAAGATCGTCCTCTTTAACAAACTGCAAGTCAGATTTGGATTCAACTCCTATGCTTGCCAATTTGTTCAAAAGAGACACTAGTTTCTCCTCTGATAGCCCAGGTAGGACTGCCAATACAGCATCTCGTACGTCCTCATCCAACGTGGACATGCCTTTATAAATCTGGAAAAGAGTGATGGAAAACAATCACTGGTAAGTCGTTCATCGTGTACTGTGCTAATGGATAATAATCAAGGAGATTCTCTTGTTTTACACACAGGTAGTTAGAATCTTCAACTTTCTCTACTATGCAATGGACACCCATATCAACAAGTTGCACAGCCTGCTGCCTCCTCACAACAAAGAAGACAGATTCATTGCAATGAATTAAAATCAGTTGAATCTCACCTATGTGTAGACCTTTTTCATCTTGATTTAGTACAACGTACATGTTTCTTTTGTACTTTGTGCCTTTGTAAATGACTTCATTTGCAGCTACAGTGGATTCATGAGTGAAACTGAATGCTGAAGTAGCTGCCTTGATGTTGTCATTGTAGTCACTGGTATAAAACTCATTTCCTCTTCCTACCTGAATTACAGGTGGAAAAAGATTCCCAGCACTTAAGTATGATTGTAAAAGTTGATGTCTCTCTGCTAAAGTAGCACACAGGTTCTTAAAGTTGTGCAATTTTCTTGCACACTGTTTGAAGTAAGTGTGCTTACTTTCAAATCTCATCGTCCAAAGACGAATCAGAGGGCCAAACTGGATTATGAGCTCTGGATAGTGACAGAGATAGTGATGTTTAGGTTTAAGGGGAAAACCTGGAAATAGTTCCACTCTAGACTGGATGTATTCTTCTATGAGGACACCCAAATAAGCAACCTGATCAGCTGTAATAGTTGGTGAACACACATGGACAACTATTTCTCTTAAAAGCAAAATCATGTTCCATGCACTACATTCGGTTGGGTTTTTTATCCTGTCACCAACCAACAAAGGAAGGACTCTCAACAGGCACCAATTTTGGACTGCGTGCCCACCTAACTTCTCACTATTTGGACAAAACTCCGGAGGTTTGTCATTTGCTTCACTACCAAGATAGGTAAACTGACTTATTCTTCTGTTCAGTTCTTCAAAAGTGAAATGCTTTCCTTTGTTTACCAGGTGGTTGATACATAATGCCAAGTCACTGGAAACAACACCCTCAAAAAGATCATGACCTAGACATGGTGGAAGACCAGGCCCACAAACATGAAAATAAAGCAGTTGGTTGAATACAGAGTCAAATTTGATACCAAATACAGATTCAGAGTTGGTTTCTCTTAGGTCTTTTATAATTTGCTGATATGACAGCTTTGTTCTTTTTGAACCCTCTGACAATGGACTGCACTCAAATGTTTGTCTGTCTACATCACAAAATCTACAAAAATAAGTACTTCTGCTGAAGTTCTCCAGGAAACCACCAATACCGTGCGACCCAAGGTTGTCTCCTGCTATTGCACACAGAGCCCCTTTAATAACTTTGCCATCCTTCAGTACAATGCCACTGTCCTCTAGGTCTTTTAGGTCTTTAATCAATCGATTAAAAACTATTTCCTGTCCAAAACACTTAAAATCCTGTTCCCTGCAGAGAAGAACAAGCTGCATCTGATCGATATTTGATCTGTTATGTGGTAAAATATCACCAAGTGTTAAATAAACTGCAAAAATCTTGTGTTTTTTTCGACCTGATCCCAGAGGATTTACAACTTCGAAAGCATCTTGATAAAGGATCAATGCTATAGATGAACTGTCCATTTTGAATAAGGCACTATTAGCAATATTTTGTCCATCCCATATGTCCTCAAACAAATCCATTTTTGGTAAGCGAGAATGAGATAGTTCATATTGCCTTTTGAATTCCTCTGATTTAAAAAGGGCATTGAGAGTTTCTTTTATAGGCACGTACTGTGCAAAGCAATCCTTCCCCAAGTCATTAGTACCCAAATACACAGGAACTGGCTCAATATAATTGAAGTTGTTTTTAAAGACTGTTTTGCGACATTGATCTGTACGCAAAACAGAATTGCCTGCTTTCAGCATGTCATTTTTTTTTAGTTCTTCAATTACATTTATTATTGTGTCAGTACAAACACCATGTTCAGACAATTTATCCTTAAGTTTTAGAAAAACATGTGCCTGAGCTAAATCATGTATTCCTTGGACTTCCTCAATTATTGTTTGAATTACAGATGAAGGTAATAGAAGTTTTGCTTGAAGTTTCAAATAAAACAAAGTCAAATTCTTCAGAAATAAATCTTCATCTACGCTTTCAAAAATCTCACCTGGCTCAGGCTCTTCACTTTCATCTAGAGATGTACAGGGTTGACACTCAAGCTGTGATGGGTTTGCTAAAACTGCATCATGCAGGTGCTCAGGTTGATCATTTTTGTGTGTTCTTGAGATATGGGAAGCAAAAGTGGATTTTACGCTAAATGTCCTCACACAGCTTTTAAAAGGGCATTTTATTTCCCTTCCTTCATCTATATGATCTTTTAAATGCCTAATCAAATCCTTCAGACTTGTACATTTGTAAAGACAATATTCAATCTGGCAGATTAAAGTTATGTCTGACTGGTTAAATCTGCCACCTCTATGTGACTTTTGATACCCCTTATGGTCTCTATATAGATGAGATTTGAATGCTGCAAATTTTGTAAACACACGGCAACAGTCAGGTACACCACAGGTGAAGGAGCAGTATGGAAAATTGCTGTGCACTTTCATATGCTGAGTATAACCAAGAATGGTTTTGCTCTCGTGCTGACATAATTTACAGAGATACATTATTCGTCTATATTCATCTGAATTAAGTGTAGTAAGTGAATGGAAATTATTTGGACCAATAGCCTATTATCTTATCGCTGCGTTTTCTGCTTTAAGTTAAATTTTGTTACGCCACAGAGCTTTGTTAACGTTCCTTCTGCAAATTCAAAACAGAAATTGAAACAGTAAAATGAAATGGAAAAATCCAACATGTGAATCCAGCATCCAATTTATGAAAACATTATATTTGTGATGCGAAAACAAAACTTTTGTTTATTATGTTTAGCCACAAGCCCTTCGAAAAATGTGGCGCTTTTCAAACTGTTAATACACTAACGTTAACAACATGACGACAAAAACACGATAACACGGTGGCAATACGTTGAGTTCATTAGCATTAGACTTGGGCTATAATGTTTTAATGTGTTTGTTTTACCTTTATCGATCAGATTCGAGTCACCTCCAACAACCTAATTCACCACGTCTTGATTTTTTCACCAAAGTTCCTGAAACAAGATATTGCATTTGAGTTACAATCTCCTTTAACGTACTAGCAAAACAAACTAGCTTAAAACATCGGAACTTTTACATGCAACTAAATGCACTGATATCACGTTGTACACAAATCAAATCACATCAATAAATCGAAACATGCAAATTACATTTAAATGATCGATCCAACAAAATCCAGCAGCCAGCTATAAAAACATTAACGTTATATTTGTTTGTTTTTCGAATCTGACTGCCCGCATAATGTAACATTAATGTAACTTAGCCTTACAAACTCTCACGTTGCGCTAGCCAAACTGCTAACTTAAGGCATGCTCGAATAAAAAAAAAACACTTGACGACAGGTGAAAAACATGGTATTAAAACAATACGATTATTCATCAGCATTAATGACTTATGTTTTTAGTCACTTGCCTTTGTCGTTTGGGTTCGTACCGCATCCTGCAACCTAACTAGCATCATGCACGGCTTTATTTGCCGACTAAAGAAGACATTTTAATTTAACGACACTCTGCTTCACTAAACAAGTAAGTTTAAAACGATTGGAACTTTTACATATAATTAAAATGCCGTGATATCAGTGTGACAAATCATTACGTTAACAATTGTTACATGTTTAATGAATCGCTAGCATGAAATAAACAAAAGAAGATATGTTTATCATTTATAGACGTTAATATGATGAACTTACCTTGAAATTAACGAATAATGCCTTCTGTTTTCTCCCGCTTGTCCAGTTCACCATATTTCAAATCTGAATCAGCCCGCGAAATCCCATAATTCCACACTACAACATGTTGTTGTAAAAACGCAGAATCTACATTGACACACCTCCTACCTGTATATTAATTTACAGTCCCCGTAGAAATTCGCAGTTAACAACTGTAACTCTTGGTTTAACCCATAATGCATTGCGAATTACAATAATAACTTGTGAAATGTTAAAACAATAAATTCCTGTATAATTTTGCTGTAAAAACTACAGCAATTTGTTACAGTGTGTGTTTTGGAGTGTACTAGCTTAGCCATAACTTTTAAAGGGACATCCCACTCAAAAATAAAAATATACCTCACTGTTTACTCTCGCTTTACTAGTTTCTCCACAAAAGAATATTTTCAAATGATAGTTGATGATACCCACTGACTTCCATAGTAAGAAAACAAATCTTTATAAGAAAATCAACAGGTGCCAGCTACTGTGCCAGAGATCTTCAGAATAACTTCTATGTTTAACAGAAGACAGAAACTCAAATAGGTTTTAAATAAGTGTGAGTAAATGATGACCCTATGAAGCTTATTTATTCTAACCGGCAAAAAAGTTTCGATTTTGATTTCATGGGGACTTTTAGCTCACATACATTTATATACACAGTTGAAGTCAGAATTATTAGCCCCTCTTTGAATTTTTTTTCTATTTTTTAATTTAAATTCTTATTCTTATATTTATTTATAAATATATATAGAGTAAATAAATATATAGAGAGAAAAGAAACCATGTGTTCAAAATGGGCATGTGCAGTTTTTTTTTGTTGTAGGGCAAAACATTGAACTGTAATCAAGCTATGCTTACGCCAGACATTTTTTTACTCCTAAATTGTGAAACATTTAGTAAAATCCCATTGCAAAATCTCGAAGCAGAACCAGCAGTAAGTTATTTCTCCATTTTTCATTTTCCATTTGATTGTCAATCACACTGAACTCTAATTTAGAGACTTGATGCTATTTTGTCTTTCCTACAGGTTCCTTTCCCTGGCAAGAGACAGCACCACACTTGCCCCTGCCTGCCACATTTGGTCTGTACCAGATACGCTGACAACAGATACCGCTGTACCAGTGACTTCAAAAACATAGACTTTTAACAGGAGAAAGAATGCGCGAAAAAAGGAATGGAGGAGTTGAATACTTGAAAAAGAAAGCAGGACAGCACAAGAAGATTAACAAGTGCCATAGCACCTCTCTGCTCATTTTTCACTCTCATGCACTTTGCACTACAAAACTACTTTTATCCAGCTTCTCCAGAAACGCAGATGTACATCATCTCCAGCAGCACAAGGTCTACCTCAGAATCATTGGTTTACCTTGGCATCCACCACACCCAAACACACACATAAATTAGTTTCATTACCTGACCTTTATGTTAAGAGTATGCAAACAGACATTTAGTAAGAAACGTGCTTCAGAGAGTGTCACATTTCTGGTTGAATTCCATCTTCAATATGCTGTGCATTTGTTGAAGGCTTAGTTATTGTAATTAAACTATAATCAGTCTAATTGTTTAGTTTTTTCACTGTTTGGATTGAGCTGGGTGTGGATATTGGATCTTTTCAACATCTTTCTTAAGGAGCCAGATCAGTCTAAAAAATAATACAATTCACATTTACAAAATTGCATTCCTAAATTCAAAACACAATTCGTAAATGCGCAATCAATTCGTAAATTCAAAACACAATCCATAAATGCGCAAAACACAAATCATAAACTCAAAACACGATGCATAAATGCGCAAATCCAATTCATAAATTCAAAACACAAATCATACATGCACAAAACACATTGTTAAATTCAAAACACAATTCATAAATTCACAAATCCAATTCATAAACTCAACATACAATTCAGATATGCGCAAATCCAATTCAAGAACTCAAAACACAATTCATAAATGCACAAATCCAACTCGGAAAATTCAAAACAACTCATAAACACGCAAATCCAATTCGTAATTTAAAAACACAATTCATAAACGCACAAATCCAATTAGTAAAATTCAAAACACAATTCATAAATGCGCAAATCCAACTTGTAAATTCAAAACACAATTCATGAACACGCAAATCCAATTCATAATTTGAAAACACAATTCATAAATGTGCAAATCCAACTTGTAAATTCAAAACACAATTCATGAACACGCAAATCCAATTCATAATTTGAAAACACAATTCATAAATGTGCAAATCCAACTTGTAAATTCAAAACACAATTCATGAACACGCAAATCCAATTAGTAAAATTCAAAACACAATTCATAAACGCGCAAATCCAATTAGTAAAATTCAAAACACAATTCATAAACGCGCAAATCCAATTCATAATTTGAAAACACAATTCATAAATGTGCAAATCCAACTTGTAAATTCAAAACACAATTCATGAACACGCAAATCCAATTCATAATTTGAAAACACAATTCATAAATGTGCAAATCCAACTTGTAAATTCAAAACACAATTCATGAACACGCAAATCCAATTCATAATTTGAAAACACAATTCATAAATGTGCAAATCCAACTTGTAAATTCAAAACACAATTCATGAACACGCAAATCCAATTAGTAAAATTCAAAACACAATTCATAAACGCGCAAATCCAATTAGTAAAATTCAAAACACAATTCATAAACGCGCAAATCCAATTCATAATTTGAAAACACAATTCATAAATGTGCAAATCCAACTTGTAAATTCAAAACACAATTCATGAACACGCAAATCCAATTCATAATTTGAAAACACAATTCATAAATGTGCAAATCCAACTTGTAAATTCAAAACACAATTCATGAACACGCAAATCCAATTCGTAACTTCAAAACACAATTCATAAAAGCACAAATCCAATTCCTAACTTTAAAACACGATTCATAAACACACAAATTCAATTTGTGACTTCAAAACACGTCATGAATGCGCAAATCCAGTTCATACACTCAAAAAAAAAAGTAACACAATTCATAAATATACACATCCAAGTAATATTTATGATTTTTTACTTGTGAATTGACAAACTGTTTTGAATTTACACTTTGGATTTGGTAAATGTGAATTGTGCTGTGCATGTATGAGCTTTATTTTTTTGCAAGCGCATTATTTTTGAGACTGATCTGGCTCCATACTTCCTCGTTAATAGTTCTGTTAAAAACAATAATTTCTTTGAAACATGAGTAATTTTGAACAAAGTCAAAGAAATCTAAAACGCTAGAGTGAAATTAAACTGCTAATGATTAAAAATATGTTTGCATTAAAACAATAGCAGAAATTGCACAAATGGATGTTCTATATACAATTGGAATTACTGTTAAATAATGTAAATCACACTATTAGACTGATTACAAAATGCTTTAAAAATAATGCTTACTGTGCAGTAAGATTTAAAGAAACTATTATAAGAAAAAACAAATAACTGGAGAAATACACATGGCCTGTGAACTGCAATAAGACTATTGTCTAATCTTATTTATTTCCAAAATAGAAAATTAAATAAGCATTGAGTTAATAGAACATAAGATGAAAATAAAGCATGTACAGGAAGCATATACGTATGACGCACATTTAATAGAAAGATATACTTGTCTGACCCTTTTTTTTCACTTCTTTTTTCAGTTTCACTTCTGCTTAGGCCATAGTTTCAGTTCACATAATTTGGAAAAATAATAAAGTTGATCTATTCTAAGACTGCTCCTCTGCAGTGAATGCATTAAATTGTCTTCACCTCGAAGACCTGCAGGCAGATCACCATGGACAGGTCAACAGACTGACTATCTATGACAAACCAGGATGAAGACAAAGCACGGGTGCCATATAGTGTCACTGCTGGATTCATTGGCACGGTTTGTGAAAAGTGGTTGTCTTGATTCATTTGAGCGGCCTTGATTAACCCAGGGTCACTGAAATGACTTGAGAAATCCTATCAGATAGTAGCACACCACGTCACATATGACACATCACTAGACGTATATGTTAGCTTGCTCTGTAATGGTTTACTCATTCTTTCTGAAGTAGAGAGAAGAATTATATTGCAAAACATCAACCAGGGAAATGACCTAAATGAAATTAGTTCCTTTCACTCAAATGTGAATAGAATTCTATTTCAGTTAAGCCAACAAAACTTAAATTCTACAAATAAATGGAACTCAATATACTATAAGAATCAAGAATACTGAAATATATACTGCAGGACAAAAGTCATGTTTGTTTGTTTTTTTAAAGAAAATTATTCTGTTTGTCAAGGTGGCATTTATTAAATGTATAAAGGTAAATATCTGTTAAAACGTTTTATTGTATGAAGTTTTACATGACATTATAACTCCAGTACCATTAATAATAATGAATATTAGAGTGATTTCTGAAGAATCATGTTACTTTGAAGACTAGCTGAAAATTCATCTTTAATATCACTGGAACAAATTACTACATTAAATTAAAAACTACCTTTGAACTGTTACTTTACAGTGCAATAACATTTCACAGTTTTACAATTTGTACTGTATTTTTGATTAAACAAATCCAGCCTTGGTAAGCAGGATAAGCTTATTTTAAAACATTTAAAAATCCTGACCCCAAACTTGTGTGTACTGTATTTAACTAAAACTTACTAAGTTAATACTTTTCATTTACAGTGTATTCATTCAAAATAAAATGACCGAAAATATAGTGATTACATTATATATTTTAGTGTCTCTATCCAAGTCTCTCCATATGACTGGAGAAGAACTTATAATGAATGATTTCGATGTAAATGAGATACACATTTCAGAGAAAAGCAGATGTTTATTATTATTAGTACACACTCAAAAAAAAAAAAAATGACGTTTGCTGTTTGTTTAAACGACTTATTTAAAATGAGCTGAAGCAACACAATTCTTGAGTTTTTTGACATCTTAATAGTTTGATGTTTAATGCACTTAAATTTGTAGAAACTAATATGTTAACTTAATTCCTTCATGTTTTCCCAACATAAATTGTGTGGAACCCAGCATTTTTACAGTGTATACAATGAAACTGCATTTATGTGGATTAATATGATAGTTTCTTGTAAACAAAACTGAACAACCAAAACAAAGAAAAAAATCCAATGCAATCAAAGGAATTGCAAATGTTTATGGCAGCGGTTGCGAAAGTGTGGAATATTCTACATTTTCTTTTGCTATGACTGAATGAGCAGTGTCTTCTGCATGACAGATCTGGAAATTAACATATATTTGGCATTGATCCTGGTGAGGTATGAAGTCCACCATACTGTAAACGGTCTCATCCTGCTCCTGTAGAGAAAACAGCTGACATTTCAGAAATCATCCATCCAGTTTAAATGATCAAACTGTTCACTTTTAAAAAATAATGAAACTGGCAAACTAGGACAGCATGAATAAATAAATATAAAGAAAACATAAAACATAAAGAAACTATGGGTCACGAAATGTCATGAGTCATTTCCGCAACAGTAAATGGGAAATTTAGTGTTTTTGGAGAACATGCATGACAATAATTAAAACTGGGAGTCATTCAGATCTTGTTCATTGATTTTTTGTAAATAACACAGTATTTAACTGTAATATGAACTATATTTACTAAACAGGACAGCTGTGCAGTATGTTACTGTACTGTATTTTAGAGTTGCAGTGTAAAAATTACTGTATATTTAACAGTAGATATAAAATACTGTAAATTCATTTACAGCAAGAGGCATGGTGCTGTAAATGTAAATGCCGTACTATTGCTTATGTTTTTAGCATTTAGGATTTGTGTGTGTAATATAATTGTAGCGAGTCTCTACTATTAAATGTGTTGCATCTGTAATATAAATATCTTTGCTAAGGGACTAAATCCACATGCCCATGAGTCAATGGAGAAGTACAATCTCCTTACCATGGTGATGTTAGAAGAACCACAAGTTCCAGTTTTATCTGTGGGTGAAAACAACAAGATCAGCCAAAAAAGATATTGGTAACTGAAAATTATCTTAATCTATATTCATTTACCAACCTGTTTTTTTCTTCCTTAACCGATACACAAGCAGAGTCAATGAGATGAGCACAAACACCAGAACACTTAAAACAACAGCCAGCATGTGGAACGTGCTCCAGCCATCACTGTTAAACAAATTATTGACTATGAATATTAATATGGCTGAACTGGGGTCATATTTTGTGACGCAATCTACCTGGATTTTTCAGCTGGTTGCTCTGAAACAATGGGTGTAGATGAAGAAGAGCTCCAGAATGTTGGTTTGATGGTTTCTTTTGGTAAGTCTATTTGTGGAAAATATAAGTGTATTTAATTAATGTTTTCATAAACACATTGTTTAATTAATAATTAAAGAAATGCAACATTCAATCATTTCTTATTACAAACATACAACTTCAATTTAGAAACAGAAGATCTTACCAGAAACTGTAACATGAACATCTTCATAGGTGTTAATGATCCCAACACCACATCTGTATGTGCCAGCATCCACTTCAGTCAGGTTTGTAATTATTACATAGAACACTCCATTGAAAATAGTGCTGGATATTCTTCCTTGATACAGAGGGTTCACTAGTCCTCTGTTGTTCACAATGAAGTAGCACTGCAACTGATTTAACTTACAGCAACTTATTTCATATGTATTATAATATGGGTAAAAGAAATATCTTAAAGTAATTCTTCCTGAAAAATAAAAGACATCGAGTCCTTCGGTCGGATTCATTCCTGAAACACATTCACAGAACACTAATGTTTTCTCATTTTTTCTATTTTAAAACACCCAGTCACAGCTTATTTACAGTCATCACAGTTCATTGTTGTTTGTGTTTTGTGATGTTATAATGTAACTTAATGTGGATTATGTGAGAAACGGCAATTTACATAATACAAATCTATTTAAAAACAAATAAAATAACTACTGTTAACCTCAATTTTAAAATGTATAAATGTAGCTAAAAATACAAATTCAGTGACTACATTGCAGTATAATAGATCTAACCAAAAAAACTCTAAAAATGAACAGAAAAAAATTATCTCACCGTTCTTTAAGAGGACTAGGAGAAAGAAAATCAGCTTCATTTTCATCTGGAATAACTCAAAGTTTTTGATCTGACTCTGGTGAACTTCATTCAACCTTCCACCAAACTGAGGAACAAAGTAAATCTAAATATAAGACATGACCAACAACTGACAGAGAAAAGGAAGTGTGGCCTTATTTCCCTGCCAAAACAATGCTCTTCAATTGCATAAATAAAGCCTGACACCAAAACCAGAAATTATTTTGCAACCACATTAATAAATGAATATTGAGAATAATAAACAGTCATCCAAAATCTGTGGCTGTCTGTGTTTGTGTTAAGTTGTTTTATTGTTTTATTCAAATTTCATGGACATGTTTTTGTTTGTTGTTGTTTCTGGTGTTGATGTCAGTTGTTGTGAGTTGAGTCTGAAACTGGTTTAAGTAAGTGCATGACAGCTGAGGTCATAATATCAACAAAAGGTAAATGAAATGACCAAGTAAAACTCTTTTTGATTTTCTCAGTTTGTGTAAATGCACATGAGGTTCAGATTATCATTTTTCACAATTAATTTCACTCGTTTAGTACAAATTAATTATACAATTTATCACTTACAATTTTCTTTTTTTCCCTCATTATTTCCCCAAAAAGAATGGAAGTGAAATGGACGGAGCACACTAACATGATTATATAAAGGCTTAAAACTGATAAAATGAAAACAAATATACAGCTCAAATCTTATAAAACATCTATTTTATTAATATAAAATATAAATGTACAAATATATATACATACCTTTTTTTAGTTTTACATATAGTGAGTTAAAGTCAGAATTATTAGCTCCCTGCATATTGTATTACCCAATTTCTGTTTAATGGAAAGATTTGTTTTTTAACACATATTTAAACATAATAGTTTTATAAATTAATTCAAGATAACTTTTTTTTTTATTTCTGCCATGATGACGGTACATAACATTTCACTAGATATTCTGTGCATTTTAAAGTAAGTTAGATTAATTAGGCAAGCCGCTTTATGATGATAATGGTTTGTTTTCTTTAGACAATTGAAACAAAGAAGAAACGAAGAACCCTCCCCACCCAACCCTACTTTCCCGCCTCTTCAAACAGGCGAGATCATCGAGATCTGAGCTCTAATAATATTGACCTTAAAAAGTTTTTAAAAAAATTTACAACTGTTTTTATTCTAGCTGAAATAAAACAAACAAGTAAAAAATTAACAGGAGGGCTAATAATTTTGGCTGCAACTGTGTGTGTATACACAGTGGACAGAAAACAGGTTGAATAATGACAAAATGACTTTACAACTACTTACCCACAAAAGGCAGTTTATTAATGTAATTTATCATTTAACAAAATGTAAATACAAATAATGACGTACTTCATAAGTCTGTCCACAACCTCTTAAAGACTAGACTACTTGGGGGCAATTTATATCTAGTAATTTATGCAGTGGAACTAAGATTTAAGCACAAAGCATTTGCATATTTCATAACTTTAGCAAAGCTATAGATTGACTATAAATGCATATTTAAAAGCTGTAACTTATGGACTTCCTCTCACAACCAGTTTACAATTAAGTAAAATACAAAAAACTACACATAACAAAAACTTTAAGTAACAATTATAAATGCAACCCAAGGGAGCTGTAAACATGTAAATGTATATTGATTTAGGAAAAGTTCTGTGTTATGTTTGATCATCAATTTATCAACACAACATTGCCATCGGAGCCATTTTGCTGACCTTCAGTTTTCAGCATTCTTTAAAATATCTTCTTTTATGATCTGAGATGTCTTTGGAGGTATTGAATTTTGGTTTCTGTTTGTGAAAAGTTTCTTTTATTTTGCTCTGCTCTATTCAGCATGCTGTTTCTGCATCATTCTCATATTCATCATCAACCATTTGCCCATCACTCGTCTGAGAGGAGAAATAATATTATTGATTCAGTGATGACATTGTGATGTCTTTATACAATTCAAGAAAGACACAGTGTATGTATTTCAGTTTGCTGTTATGAAACAAAACCAATAATCTATGAAACAAAAACAATAATGTTTAAATAAACATCAATAAAACATGTATTTTGTGTGAGGATATTTAGGTTTACTCTTAAACACAGTGAGCCAGGACAAAATGTACAGTTCTCCTTTTGTGCTCTGGAACGAACAAACCAAACAAAGCGTGAAAAGACCCTCAGCTTCAGATATGTAAAGACATGCTAACCTGAATGTTGATTCCTTGAGGTTTAATCACAAATTGCTGTGGGACTAAATCAACTTCCTTCTCCTGAGAGTTGATGAACTGGACCTGGACAGTGAAAGATGAATAAAGATGGACAAAATATTGTCAGTGAGTGATTATATCATGAGTTCAACTGCCCGAGACTCTTAAAACTCTTTATTTGGACCTATTTTTTACAGTTATTCTTGTAAAACAAAAGTTGCACCTTGGATATTTCATCATGATCGGTCTTCAAGTACTCTACTATCTGTCCATATGTAGGGTTTTTCTTTGTGAAGTTTTTAAACTAATTTCGAGAGGAGCACGTGATATAATTGACAGCAGCTGGCCACCTATCTACACTCATTAGTTAGCCAATCAGATCTATCCTAACCCACTATAAGTAGCCTAGCTAGACATTACTCCCTTATCTTCGTTTTCCGAAGAAACAAACGACAGGTCCGCTCTAGCTCCTCCAAAAGTTACTCACGGACAAAACGGATCCTCCACATCTCCTACTATTCTTCAACTACAATACCACACCACCTTTAATACCATCGTCAGCAACTACAAAAAATGACAAAAACAACAACAACAGCGACGGCGGCGGAGATCACAACAGCATCAGCGCAGCTACATACAAGAAAGAAAGCTCCGGGCTCCCTGAAACACCAGCCCCGTCTTAACAACAACCAGCCCAGCATGAAAGTCAGCTCGAGACCGAGGCTCCAACGAGAGGCCGTAGGCCTATCCACTCCAGCCTGATCACAATGCAATCCCCAGCTCCGCTACGTAACTTACCTTCTCCAGCATCATCATGTGTCACTCATATCCAACAACGACTGTCATTGAACTCCTCCAAACTCCTAGACGCCGGGACCATAATTCAAAGCCGCTGCATTAAACCCAAAACACTTGCGAATCCACGTCTTTACCGCCACCCCCAGGACATAACACGCTCCTGCCACACCCCCTATCCTAAACAGACATTAAACCCGCAATCTCTCCGCCTCCCCGGAGAATCAAGGAAAGGATTAAAAAGCAATATTGGATTTGGACATATTGCAGCAATCATAATTCTAAACACGGATAAAACCAATCTCCCGGACAATAAAGCAACTCTTGGGAATCCCACCTCACCTCTTCCATCCTGCAGCTCCCGATTCCAGTGCACACTCCAGTCCTCCTCTTTCAGCGATCCTTACCACCTACGCACCCCGCCCCTCTACCTTGCGTATCATTGCTTTTTCCCCCTCTCATTTTTACAAGCTCGCAGCTACTGCTGATTATTTTCTATTATAAAATAGAAATTACTTGTCGACTTTTGTCAATATGTTTATGCTTTACTGAATTACGTTTGTAACTGACCTAATTTTCTGAATTTCTCATTCCAGGTTTCGTCTACTGAAGCACAGCCGATCTCGGCGCTCCCTTCCCACAACCTCACTAGCCGTCCACCAACGCTACACCAGAAATCACAGAGCAATTCCCTGTTAAGCACATCCATACCAGCCCTACTGAAATGGACAGTAGAACGTTTCTAAAAACGTCTAATAACGGCTCTTTCATCTCCTCATAATTCTGCCTTTTTCAGCTTTAACAGCATGATTCTACCTGATGAATATGCTTAAATTATCACGTTATAAACCAAGCAATCTCTCTAATCTAGACGGCTGCAGCGCTCGGTTGCAATCAACATTACACCCGCCACCCGATTTCTGGCAATCGGAGGTCACAATTACATTTCGTAGTCCGTTTAACATTCGGATGCAGAAGTAGCCCACACATTTATGCTTAAAAACGATCCGCTGGATTTCGCCAATAACTACGGTGTTTGCACGTAATTCACCTACAAGTTCCCGTTTCTCTCTCCCTAATATCCCCCAGCTAAACTAGTGACCGGTTTTCTAATATTTGAATTCTCATTGCGGAAGAACCTCCGGCTTAAGCACTTCTATAGAATTCTTAAGCATCAATTTGGAGTGATATAATTTCAAGCATTAATAAGCTACTTGAATAAATCGACAATCAGTCCCCTTTTATATTCTGGAAGAAAAATATCACGCTAAGCATAAACTGCTCTCCATCTAGAACATCAAACACACATGCGCATTATCCCGCAGGGATGCCTTTTCGTCACTCACCTATTTCATCTCGCAGCAGCAATCTCCGGAATAGAAGAGAAATGATCTAAATCCGATCTTGGCCGTAACAAACTCTGCCTGAAGGGCGTCGCGCACCAGAGGCGCCGACGGCGCGGTGACGCGACGCACTTACGACAGAGAATAGTAGATTAATGCACACCAGACTCAAGCATTCATACTTTATCAAATAAACTAATCAATTATACAAATAGCGCTCCGCGGCGCGGCAGAATACGAAGTGTCATGAATTGTGGCTGGGCACTACGGACAGCCGCATTGACTTCCTTATTATTTATTTCCTTCCTGTGAAAGTCAATGGTTACAGGTTTTCAGCTTTCTTCAAAATGTTGTCTTTAGCGTTTAACACGGGAGTCACTAACCTCTGAAACTAAGAGCTACTTTCGGGCACCGATTAACGTGGAGGGCTACCAGTTGGATAAACACTTCTCAAATAACAAATTGCTCAATTTACTTATAATTATAATTTAAGTTTTTGGTTATTTTAATAATGAATAATATTCATCCAGGTGTAGTCACTGATCATGTTATGATTCTCTCAAAGTTACCAACAATGATTTAACAGGGTAAGGAAATACCCCGTAATTAATATCAACGTGCAACACTATTTTATTTATCTTTGCAAATATTTACATTTTTAAATGATTACTTCTATATTAGAGAAAGCTTACTTGTAAGTGGTGTTATGGTGAGCTATTTTAGAACAGGCCTGTGAGCAACACACGAGAGCCTCGTGAGCTATCTGGTGCCCATCGGTACCATATTTGGTGACTCCTGGTTTAACAGAAATGAAATTCATAAAGGTTCGTAACCATCAGGTAGCGCTTAAAGCATGCGACCTGCTTATGCTTCCTTCCTTAAGCGCTGGAATAGAAGCCATTCATTTATTAGCTATCCAATTTCATCCTCAGTATATCCTTTTTACACAGATGCTGCCCCCTTCGTGGGGTATATTATCGGGGCCGCCAATGCGCTTCTAACGGGCAATATCGTCAATACATTCTGAAAAAAAAAAAAAAAAAAAAAAAAAAAAAAATACTGCTGTACATGTTCCTAGTTGCATAGGAAATCGCTGACTCTCTTTTGCTTTATTTTCAGAAACTGGTATCAGAAGCAGAGCCGCAGCTGACTGCATCTCTCCTTTTAAGATGATAATCCCATAACCACAGCATACACAATTTGCGTCAGCATTCATTTATACATTTTAAGTTACCCCAGAACACCTCATCAGTTTCTCACTGCTCAACACATCCACACATTCCGTTCAATAACATTTTTGGTTTCATAACACCTTAAAGTCATAGGACCATTCAGGCTTCCCACCAGATTCATAATCCAGTCACTCATTCAGAATTGGAGCCACCACCACAGCAGCACACAAGGGCTATCGTAACAACACATACAAACACTAGGAAAGTAGTCTCCCGACGCCTTCAAATCTTATATCTGACGCAGCCACAGCCATCTCAGGGAAGCTCAGAGGACCCTCACCAGCAGACGCAGTAATCCCAGCGGCCAAGGGCATGGGCCTAGTCCAGGGAGAGAATACGACCCAACCATACCAGCTTCCCGAGGGCAGAGGAACTACCCAGTCTCCCAAGGGCGCGGGCATGACCCAGCCATCTAGCTTCCTTTCTTCCTTCCAGCTGATTTGCACTCAGCCTTCTCCCCCTTTTCACTCACCTAACTCCAGTAGGAGTTCTCTCCCTGCCCAGGCCCCCTTGTCACCCCCGCCCCCCCCGGCCGCTGCCACAGAAGTTTTCACTGCCCCCCAACTTTTCTAACTTCTGTAGGACCCCGCCCCCCCCATGGCTCTGGCCCCCGCAGGGGCGTTACCCCGAGCTTCGATTCTCGCAGGAATCATCTCACTGCCCTGGCCTTAGCTTTTTATATTATGTCATTCCATAATGACATATAGTATAGCACTATTTATTTTTCTCTCTGTTTGATTTTATTTATATAAATTTATATCTATATGCACCCACGCATATAAATATGAGTTTATATATAGTGCTGTCACCCTCACGCTCTGTTCCCGCAGGAACAACCCCAGAGCACCTATACCGCCCGTCACCCTCCAGTAAGAAGTCTTCACCTCCCCCTCATCTTTCCCGACTCCTACTGGAGCAGCTAAATAGCTCACCCAACCCCGAGCTGTGACACAAGTCATGTCATCGACCCTCCCCGGCCCTAGCTTTTATTTATGTTTATTTTTGTTTATTTCTCACACTTATCTTTTATTTTTTAAATTTATTTATATATATGTATATATATATGCACCCACGCATATAAATATATATTTATATATAGTGCTGTCACCCTCAAGCTCTAACTCCCGCGGAGTTAATCCCGAGCACCGGACCCCCGCAGGGGTCATCGCCCAACTGCCATTTCCCCCTTCAGCTGGGGCTTCACCGACCATTCCTTTTCCCGACTCCAGCTGGAGATGGCACATACAGCTCTCTCTCCCGCAGGAGAGCCAAGAGCTTCGACTCTCGCAAGAGTCAGTAAAAACGCCCCCCCAAGGCCCTAGATTACCCCATTATATATTTATATATCTATATGTTTCATATAAATATATAATTATATATAGTGCTGCCACCTCCCAGCTCAATCTCCGCAAGGAGTGTTCCTCGAGCAAATTTCTCCTTTGGAGTCCCCGCCCCCCCTGCCCCCCTTCACCCCCCTCTCCAGCCGGAGTCCTTCACTCCCCTTCCCTTGTAATGACTCCAGCAGGATTCCCGCCCACCCCATGGCTCTGACCCCCGCAGGGGTCTCCCCGAGTCTCTACTCCAGCAGGAGTATTCACAGCCCAAGCCAACTCTGCTCGGGTTCCTGCAGGAACCTGTTTCACCCTTTGCTCCAAAGGAGCCCTCTTTACCTTTTCTTTTTCAAATAACTATATCCAGCAGCCGGATATAGCATTTCAAGCCTTTTGGGGAGTTTCTTCGAATACACGGCTGCTGTCCCGAGCTTCATGCATTTGGGGAGCTCTCGAGAACCACCTGATCTCGTACTCCCCTCACATGCTCTATGGACCTGGCGGGAGCCCTGGGCTCAACTATCTCCGAGCTCAGGGTTCTCTCCCGGGACAGCATGCCAAACCTGCTTTCAGCTGTCAAGCAATATCTAAGTGTGAACTCTTGAAGTGAAGTTTTTAAACTAATTTCGAGAGGAGCACGTGATATAATTGACAGCAGCTGGCCACCTATCTACACTCATTAGTTAGCCAATCAGATCTATCCTAACCCACTATAAGTAGCCTAGCTAGACATTACTCCCTTATCTTCGTTTTCCGAAGAAACCCCCCATCCACCCCTTTCTCCTCCTTTTCTCCTTTACAAAAAGGGGAGCTCTCGAGAACCACCTGATCTCGTACTTCCCTCACATGCTCTATGGACCTGGCGGGAGCCCTGGGCTCAACTATCTCCGAGCTCAGGGTTCTCTCCCGGGACAGCATGCCAAACCTGCTTTCAGCTGTCAAGCAATATCTAAGTGTGAACTCTTGAAAGAATATATGTCACTTCATGTGAAGGAACGTCAATAATATTTATAGGACATGACTAGGCAATGACATTATCACTGGCCAAATGTGGGTAGGTTTTTAGCTGTGGCAGGTTAGACATCCGTGATCTGGTAGATTAAATATAATTTTTAAATTGTAGACTTCATGTGAAACAAAAACTAAT